TATCGGTATATTTGAATTATTATATAATGGACAGTGATAGCGACCTGGAAGTACTTACACCTCCAGAAATAAGGGAGGTGGCAAAAAATATAGAGTTAAATTTGTTGCCGGAGAAGTCTCGGATGAAATATGAAGAAAATCATAAACGAATTATGGATTATTAATTTTGCTTTATACATATCAATCAGCAAAGTAACCACTTTGCTGCCTAGGCAGGAAAAGTAATACTTTGCTGATTGATATGTGTCAGCAAAATCAATATTTGCTGCCAATCGGAGGAAAAACTATTTTCCTACCATAGAACGTGATACAGGTACGCACAAAAAAGTTGTGACTTTTCAAAAGACTCAAAAGACATGTAGGTGCCGCCACCCTCACGAAAGAGATGAACTAACATAAAATTTGATATTGTCATCGAAAAATACCACGAAATACCAAAATTCATTTGAATATCACAATTATTTTGAAATTTATTAACAAAAAACAAAAATAAGAATTCAACTTTGACACTCTATATCTCAGAAACGAATAACTTTCGGACATATATTTATACGAACTTTTCTTCTTATTTTGACGTCAGCAACATGCTCCTGGATTTTCGACACGTACTTAAGAAACACCCAGTATAAAGAAAATGAATTTTTGGAATATCTATTTGTTTTTCTACGTTATTATCAGATATATAAAAAACTCTAAAAATACTTTTTTCTACAAACGTCAAAAAATGACAAGGTTCGCGCATTGATAGCGAATTGCGAAGTGACACTTTTTTTCTTCAGTTTCCTACGTTACAATGATACCTTGCACCAAACAATGTGCGAAGTAAAACAGTGCGCGAAGTACCTACTTCGCGCATTGTTATGAAAATATATGAGATATTCATATTCCAACTTAATGGTCCTTAATCGAGAAAACATCCACGAAATCATTTATTTTTGAATGTTCAACAATAACTTCGTTTCATCTCTTGGAGCGCACGAAAGGAAATTCCTATTATGTTCGTGAAACATCGTGCTCACCTAGGGAGGATAGGAGAGGCCTTTTAAGCCAGTTCAACACCATTTTTTATATCAAGCTGAGCATATTTTTACTTTAAAACTATATTTTTTGACGTTTGTAGAAATAATGTTGTTTACAACTCGAGCGCGAAATGCTTTGGTCATCTCGACTATTTTTTTAACTCGGCTACGCCTCGTTAAAAAAATCAGATCTCGATCACCAAAGTAGCATTTCGCGCTCTAGATACAAAAATAACTATTACATGGCATCTCTTGATGAGATTTAACGTGGTGATATTGATTTCTCCACGCGACGTTTCGTATTCGTAGAGAAATCAACAACTTTTTTTTCAAATACGGCCCTGATTATCTGTCCACAGATTTCGAAATTTTTTTTTTATTCTGAGTTCAACCATGGGGAATTATAAACAATTTTGTAAATTTTCGAAATCCATTGGTATGACCAGGTATGACCCGCAACCTCGTGCGCAACCTTATCATGGTCACACTGTTCAACTTTTTTGTTAAGTACCAATATCTATCGAGAAAAAATAGTTGAGAGATTGAAAATGGCAAAGATTTGTTATATTCAAAATGAAAGGTAGAGGAAGAATTCGAGAGATCAGACGACAGTTAATGTAAAAAAAACAATTAGAAGAGTTGAAATAATTTAATAGGTATTTGAAATGAACATTCTCAGATATATTCATGAACACAAAAAAATGGATATACAGGGTGGCCCACGGTCGATGGTACGTTAGACGTATACGGAAAACGGTACATTGGATCATCCTGAAAATTTGGTTACTCTACTAAGCGTTTGTGATCTAACGATTCAAAATATTTTCAGCGATGCAGCGTTGCCACTTTTACCAAAAAGTAGCATCATCTTTGTTATTTCAAATGGAACACCCTGTATTTCATTGCGTTTCTAGATTCTTCTCGAAGAGCTGATTTCATCAATGTATCACACTTGGTGTCTAGCAGGAATTTTTACAGAGATATAGGGTGTTCAAAATCGAATTATTTCAATTTCAGGAATTTTTTGGGTCGAAACTATTCATTATCGAACAAAACGGCTTACATGTCCCTATCTTTACTTTTGATTCACTATCTACTGACATTTAATTGGAACAGATAGAGGGTGATCAAAATTCTGAACCTGGACCATCCTGTATTTTTTCCAATTAAATGTCGGTAGATAGTTAATCAAAAGTTAATATAGGGACATGTTAGCCGTTTTGACCAATGATGAATAGTTTCGACACAAAAAAATCCTAAAGTTGAAAAATATCGATTTTGAACATCCTATATCTCTGTAAAAATTCATGCTAGATATATTGATTAAATCAGCTCTTCGAAAATACAGGGTGTTCCATTTGAAATAACAAAGATCATGCTACTTTTTGGTAAAAGTGGCAACGCTGCTTCGCTGAAAATATTTTGAATCGTTAGATCACAAACGCTTATTAGAGTAACCAAATTTTCAGGATAATCCAATGTACCGTTTTCCGTATACGTCTAAGGTACCATCGACCGTGATAAAAATATCAATTTATTTCCACGTCCTGTATGATGAATGTCAATTCATCATACATTCAAAAATTACTAGGTATTATTTCTCGTGCACAAAACGTCAACCTTCTGTATCTAGGAATCGGCAATAAGATGTCAATCAATGAAAATGATCGATCTATCATTGTACAAAAATATAAGGAAATGAAGCGAAGGTTGAAATAAAGTAAATGATGATATTTCTCCAATACCTACCTGTATTATTGTATACATCTTTGAATAGAAGAATATTGTATTTTTTTAGCTTTTGTGCAAAAAAACTTCAAAATGTTTCTCGAGATGTTTCTCTATGCCACATGTCTGTAGCAATAAAAGTGTTGGCCCCTATATCAAGATTGTTTATGAAACTAACTCTACAGTTATAGATCGGCTCATAGTAAGTCGCTAAATTTCATACTTATATTTCTGTGAACTCGTTTGACCGAATTGCAAAGATATACAGGCTGTCCCTAATATGTATTCACAAAAGAATACTTAATATTCCTCATCAGACCAAAACAATACGAAATATACAAGCCAACTTACTTCAGTACAAAGTTGCTTAGTTTGAGCCTCGGTGAGATTGCTAGACAAGTAGACAACATGTTTTAAATTACTAGAATTACGAATTTTTTCGAGATCATGAGAGTAATAGAATTTTATCAAGAGTACCTTCTAGATGTTTATTTACTGAAAAAATTGAATTCTACGCCTAGCATGGAATGATATTCATCATAATTTCGATCATTATCATGATATGGGTCGTTATGGGTTTCATTGCTTGATAAAGCTATGTCAACGTAGGTACAAAATTCTCCAGAGCCGTTTAGCGCCCAAACTGAGCAATTTTATACTTAGTTAGGTAGATTTGATATAATTCAATTGTTGTGGTCTGAGGAATATGTGGTATTTTTTGTATAGACCTTTTAGGCACACCCTGTATGGTATTTCAAAGTGTTCAATGAAATTGATTAACATTTACATTTTGTGTCGGCCCCATATTGGATTTCAAGTAGTGTCATATGGTTTTTGTATTCTACTTGTCATTCTCTCTTATTTGGTACCCATGTCGAGGGAATTGTAAACGAATTCAGTAGTTATTCACCAAACAAGTGCGAAAAGTAGTACTTTACCGCACGCGACGGCTGTTGCACGAACGACGCGGAGCGGAGTTCGTGCAAGCCGTCAATTGTGGAAAAGACATTTGCCGCAAGGAGAGTAAGGTATAATGTTTTTCCACGAGTGTTTTTGTACATATTATTATTATTTAAGAAAAAAAAGGTTTTTAATAAACAAGATTTTATAACAATGCTACAAAATGGCAAAATAGTTACATAGATCATTTAGTTAGCCATAAATATCCCCATTTTCAACAATACAAAAATCGTGGCGAAAAGTAACTTTTCAGCACTAGTGGGGTAAAGTAACTTTTTCGCACGCTCGTATGAAAAGGAAATTTTTTTGTCGGCGGCCATATTTCAAGCTTTGTTATAAATTGTATTCTACTTTATAATAATCGTATTGAATCTGATAATACCCATATTGACCAGACCCAAAGATATGTGTAAAATTTCAGCATGATTGGATATCGGGAAGTCGTCGAAAAATCTATCAAAAAGTCAAAATGTTCAATAAAAAAGAAATTTTTCTCGTTCTTCTCATCTTTCCGAACATTTAACAGGATTCCAACGGAAAACCTTGAAGAGAATGAAAATTCGACTGACTAACATTAACATATGATATTCTAAGTGGGATAAGGTACTCTCGGTGCTCGCGGTACCTTTCCGTCAAAAAAAAATCAACAAAGTAGGTCTTGAAGCAAAATACTGTGCAGTCCATATATGTTTTCTTTGCGCGAAATTTATTTTCATATCTGAACATCGTTGAGAAATTTGACTTCAATTTTCAAAAAATTGCTGGGACTACCAAGTTATTCACAAAGAATACCCAAAGAATTCCCGAACTTCCCAAAGAATTCCTCGGACTTCCCAAAGAATACCCGGACTTCCTCAGGAATTCCCGGACTTCCCAAGGAATTCCTGGACTTCCCAAGGATTTCCCGGACTTCCCAAGGAATTCCCAAAGAATTCCCAGACTTCCCAAAGAATTCCCAGACTACCCAAGGAATTCCCGTCTAGGGTACACCGGACTTCCCATGTGATTTACCCCTCGATTTGTATACTGACACCTTGACTGCGGAAATGTCTCTGCTTCTATACTGAAGTCCATCAACTTGGACTTTATTAAGCAGTTCGAAAAGCATCAGGTCAATGAGACCGTACATCACATCAAAATCCTCAGATTTTTTTATATAAATTTTATTGGCTTTTTTTCATACACATAACCATCGACTAAATGTATCAATAAGGATAAACTGTACTAGCGTTTTTAACAGACTTTATAGAGAATTTTTAGCGAACTTTCAGAGACATGCTTGAATATTTTCAGATCTGCAATGTATTATCAGTTTTTCCCAATGTATTTCCACAAAGAAGAAGCATCTACACGGTGGATCCGGTCGATCCAAAGGAGCCGACGTTTAGGAAAATACTCATTGCCAATAGAGGAGAAATAGCATGTAGAGTGATAAAGACCGCCAAAAGAATGGGCATCAAAACTGTCGCTGTATATTCAGTAGCTGATTCCCAATCTGTAAGTAAATATTAAAACAAATCCAAGAAAATAGCTGACAATACAAATCCCTCATGAATATGATCTATTCATTCATTCGACAAAGGTGGAAATGATTTATTTAATGAAGTTCATATCCACGACAAAATATTTTGTCACTTCAACAAATTTGTCTTGTCAGTTTTCAACTTGAAATTTATTTGATGTGATTATTTTTTTATTCAAATCAACGGCAAGATTTGGTTGTATGAACAGAGACTCAGTTTTATTCTTCTCCTGAAGATGCTAACATAGTTAGCGAAACACGTGTCGAGGCGTTCAAAAAATCGGTTTGGTTAGTTGAATAATTTTGTTTAATTTTCCAATAACTGAATTATTTCAAAACTGAGAGAGATTAGAGATTGATTTTCTCAGTTGAATCAAGGCTATTAGCTTGCAAGCGTCATTAGAAGTTCTAGGACAGTTTATGATACAATTATATAAACGAAAGTTCTAGGTACCTATTTGAACACCCCAATCGAGGCGAGCGTAAGAAGGTGAAAAGGAATGCCATCTAGTGGCAAAAATGCAACTCGATAGTACATCAATAAAATTATTGTTTGATATAATGTATCTGTTGGTTCAGTTCAACAAACTGATCTGTTCAAAATAACAACATATTTCTTAATAATGATGAAATTGAACAAAATATAATATTGTCGAGATCAATTAGTTTTCGAATAGAAGAAGAGCATATGGTTGATTCAACAATAAAATGATTGTTGAAACAACAAAATATGATGTCCTCCGATGAATCTTCGTCAGAATTAATCTAATTTTGTCAATTAGACACGATGCATATGATTTATTAAACAATGAGATGATAGTTGGATTAACAAAAATGCTTCTTTGTCAACTGAATATATTGTGAATGAATTAAACCAAATTGAACTTTTCTTCAAGTAAACAAATATTCTAATCAAAATATTTTATCTCTATGAATAAGTCGCTTATTTGGAATTGATATATATTCTGTTGATTTCGCAAACATTCCTTCGAATTATGAAAATAAATTGACCAAAATAATTTTGTTCGTGCATCAAATCTTTTTTATCTGTGTAAAAATGCAGGTGTGAGATTTTCTTCATGCCCTGATATAGGTAACTTTGAAACTGATATATAAAAATAGCCTCAAGATGTATCTATATTATCAAAAGTTTGTAGAATTTTGGTTCAATTTATATTATATTTGAAACCTTGAGTTTATCTTATCTTCAGCACTCGAAAATAGTGTAGGTAAATAGCTTTCATCTTTTTAGTAATACGAAAGATATAAATACATATTATGTATATTGTATACACAAGATAGCAAAATAATAATATTGAATGATGATGCTTGACGCAAAGTTCAATGTTTTTTCAATGAAAATTACGAAATACTCAGAGCGAGAAAATTGCGAGGAAAATTGTGGATGATTTCTGTATATGTTTAAGATTATGATATTGATTGAAACAAGAATTAATATCGTTTCTCAACGAAATTATGAAATTTTCAGATGTAATATTGGGGAATGATTCATATTGAATGAAAATCACGGTAATATTATGTTTAAATATAAGAGTAAATAAGAACACTATAAAATTCTTGCATTATGGGTGAAAACTCTTGAATATAGCAATGAGGATGAGAAAATCATATATTATCCATTTGAGTAAAGTAATAGATACGCTATTCCAGAATATTTATTGAGAATTACGTAATACGCCCGGGTGATTCGGAACCAATTTACCAACCCCCCTCCCTCCTCCTGCATGTCTGTGTTATATCCCAATCAGCACCAGACATCTTAAAGACGTACATTTTACGACTTACTTACGTCTTTACGTCCAGGGACGTATAAAGTACGTCTTTAAGATGTAAATCCATGTACATCTTAAAGACGTACACGAATTTACGTCTTTAAGACGTACATTTTAGTTCGTATCCACGTCGTTCCTCCCATGTCGTATAAAAGACGTCTTGGAGACGTACATTCCAGTACGTCAATTCGACTTATAGAACAATAATGTAAGTTATTTTCTGAAGAAAAACAAAATATCATCACTTCACGTTTTTTATTTTCAATTGTTCAGTTTTTTCTTATTTTCAACAAGAGTGATGTTTTTGAATTTTTTCGTCCGACATTTTGGAGCCTTAGTATGAGATTCACGAATTTTTACAAAAAAATCATTATCTCCGACCCCAAAAGTCCCATAGTAATCAATTTTGAATAAAATCGGACTATAATCACAAAACTCGTCCGCCATTTTGAAGCCGACATCTTGGATTTTTCATTTTTGACAAAGGTAATTATAATCTCTGATCCCGAAATCCTTCAGATGCCAATTTTGAATCAGATCAGACCATAATCAGAAAACCATATGCCACATTGGATTCACCATCTTGAATATTGAATTTTGATTCGAACCGGAACATAATCAATGAGGAAATCGTCCGCCATATTGGATCCGCCATTCTGTTTTTTCCATTCAATAATAATATCACAATGAATTGTCACCGGAATAATATGTACTTGCCAAATTTCAAATCAATCGGACGATTTAAAGTGAGTCAAATTTAACTTGCACGTTTTGATTACAAACAGACACAAGGACATGTTAAACTAAGTAGAAGCTTTTTATGTGATATATAGAACAAACCGAGTAACAGAAGAAGTGAGTATGGTATAATCATCGAAGTCAAGCAACAAAGAGCGCGGTTAGTACTTGAATGGGTGACGGCTTGTGTCTACCGTTTGATGAAGTCGTTTATTTCCCTTTTTTTTTGCTTGTCTGCACTTGTTGCTAACTTCAGTGCACAGGTGAAAATTAACTGAAACTATGTGATTTTTCCGTAATTTGAAAGATCAATTTGAGGTCATGGAACAAAAACACCTAAAAAAGACGTCTTAAAGACGTACATATTAGTGAAAAATGTACGTTTTAAAGACGTCTTAAAGACGTCTCTTGGGCGTAATATGTACGTCTTTAAGACGTACTTATGTCCCGACATGTACGTCTTAAAGACGCCTTTAAGACGTACTTTGGCTGATTGGGATGTTTCAGTAGGTATACAGAATTACCTTTCCAACGATATGTCACAATCATACTCTCAATTCACATTCTACCCATATAATTGGGATTTTATAAATAACTACTTCTTGTATTCCCCTCGTAATATGTAGAAAAACTATGAAATCAAATATTTGGCTTCGTCCGATTTTGCAATCTTGATAATAATAATTTTAGAACCTTTCTCCAATATCATAGCCAACTATTATTAAGATGGTTTAGAATAGAGATTATCTTCATTAAATATAAATGGGAAACAAGAATCTGGAGTGTTCTCCTGTTTTGTTTTTCAATATTCATGGGAGTTTCTAACCAACTTAAAAAATCCTATGATAGCATTCAAAGAATGGTATAGTTTACCTAAGGAGTGCAGAAAAGTCACTTTACACACGTGATAGGTGCACTATTTTTTCTACTAGCGTGCGGAAAAATACCTTTCCCGGAATCGTTCGAGTGCTGATAGTTTTTAAAGTGACCCTTTTACGACTAAAATGCGTGCGGAAGAGTCACTTTAAGCACGTGTTAGGTACACTATTTTCACAGCGTGCGGAAAAGTAGTCTTTTGATGTTGAAAAATGAAAGTAGTGTGCATAAAAATCATTGTGTATGAACTTTGACATCAGATTATTGTTACTCACAAGCTATTGTTTTATTATCCATAGCACACTTTCATGAAAATATTCCGTTACGAGAGGAATACAAAAAGTATTTGTTTCATTGAATCTCAATTATATGAGTAGATTGTGTATTGAAAGTATAGTAGTGATATATCGTTGAGAAGGTAATTCCATACTTGGTCGTGATTTTCAGGAAAAACTTATATTTTGTATAAGAAATAAAAAAAATTGGATGCACTTCCGGTCAAGGAGGAAATCATGAATTCTTGAATTCAAATCGTTGTACTGAATGTGAATCATCCATCAAAAATAGCCACAAAGAGACAGGTGGCTGAATTGGTTCCGAGTCTCCCGGTATATACACCATGTCCCAGCTAGAATCCCCCCCCCCTGTAAAAAATCAACCGCGCGATCGAATGGCTTGAAATTTGGTCACCCAGTTTATTTGATGATGTTCACTCGAAATATGCTATTGAATAAATCATAGGTATACAGGGTCACACCGAAGTGCACCTCAACTTTTTTATCCGTATAACAAGCAGAATTCATTATTACAAATTCAACAATGCCGGGTTTGATGGAATTTTTTTAAACGACTACGAAGATATGGCAGAAAAAAATAAAATGGTTCAATACAAAATCTATATGATTAGATTTTATTAATATAACACGATAAAAATCGAATGATAAGTGTCTTGCACATAACTACAGACACGTAATGGATTATTTTCGCCATCGGTTTGGAGAAAATCTAATAACCGATGGTGATAGCAACTGGCCAGCTCGGTCGCCAGACCTCACCCCACTTGATTTTTATTTGTGGGGCTACTTGAAACAACAGGTATTTATGCGTCGTCAATTGTGAATATGGAAGAAATGAGAGAGAAAATCACAAATTTATGCGCACAAATTGATCGCAACGTGATACATCACAATGAACGTTATCAAAAAAACTAGGAAATGATTGCAGCAGAATGGACGACATATTGAGCAGTTGAGGTTTTAATTATTTTTTTCTCATTTGATCTCAATCGTGTTATATTATTAAAATCTGATCATATACCTACATTTTTTATCAAATCGTTTTATTTTGTGTCATATCTTCGTAGTCGTTTGAAGAAATCCCATCAAAACCAGCATTGTTGAATTTGTTATAATGAACTCTACTTAAATATGGAATAATATACTGGGTGTCCCTATTCAAATAGGAAATGAGTTTAGGTGCACTTCGGTGTGACCCTGTATATCTACGATTTATTCAATAGCATATTTCAAGTGAGCATCATCGAATATACTGGGTGACCAAATTTCAAGGTATTCGATCGCGTGGTTTATTTTTTAGAGGGGGGAAGGCATTTTAGTTGTGACACGGTGTACATATACAGGCTGATCCACGGTGGATGGCCTATTAGAATTATCTGGAGAACGAAAAGATGGAACATTCTGAAAATTGGGATGCTTTTATAATTGAACATTCTCTATCCGTCTAAAATATTTTCATCGATACAGTGTTGCCACTTCTATCAGAAAAACTAGCAACTTCGTTATTTCAAATAGAGCACCCTGTATTTTATTGAATTTTTAGATTATCCTTGAAAAGCTGATTTCATCAATGGATCACACTTTGGGTCTAGCAGGAATGATTACAAAGATATAGGGTGTTCAAAATCGAGATTTTTCAATTTCAGGATTTTTTTGTGTCGAAAGTATTCATTATCGATCAAAACGGCTCAAATGTCCCTATCTTAACTTTCGATTCACTATCTACTGACATTCAATTGGAACAGATACAGGGTGATCAGAATTCTGAATCTTGAAGCACCCTGCACTTTTTTCAAACAAATTCCAGTAGATAGTCAATCAAAAGTTAAGATAGGGACATGTAAGCCGTTTTGATTGATAATGAATATTTTCGACACAAAAAAATCCTAAAATTGAAAAATCTCAATTTTGAACACTCTATATCTCTGTAATCATTCCTGCTAGATCCCAAGTGTGATACAGTGATGAAATCAGCTCTTCAGAAAGAATCTAAAAATGCAATAAAATTCAGGGTGTTCCATTTGAAATAACAAAGTTGCTAGTTGTTTCTGATAGAAGTGGCAACACTGTATCGATGAAAATATTTTAGACGGATAGAGAATGTTCAATTATCGAAGAAACCCAATTTTCAGGATGTTCTGTCTTTTCGTTCTCCAGATACTTCTAATAGGACATCCACCGTGGATCACCCTGTATACTACCTATGCACCGTAAAATCGTATCATATCGATTTTCTCAATAAATACATGTGGGTTTTGAAATCACCTTGTGTGATGAATATTCTAGTAATATATCGAAGTTGGAGTGTATTTCCACATAGGATTTTCATTTTATAACTTTATGATTTCACAGAATATTCATGATATAACTAAACTCTTCGATGTAACTATAGGAAGGTATTGCTATATTTTCAGTTGCATGTGAGAATGGCAGATGAAGGTGTTTTCATAGGAGAGTCACCAGCTTCTGAGTCATATCTGGATAAAACGAAAATAATAGATGCTATCAAGCTAACTGGATCTGAAGCAGTCCATCCTGGATATGGCTTCCTCTCGGAGAATGCTGAGTTCGTGGAAATGCTAGTAAGTATAAATTACCCATATATCAATGTACAGAATGACCCATTAATATCGCATAAAATTATGGACAATAATTATTTGACACCACTTTGTAAGTTTTCGTAATTTCAGTGATTTTTTACGAAATCTTTTTTCTTTTCTTTTTTGAATCGAGTCGGCCGTTACTTGATGGAAATCCATGGCAAATGTAAAAACCTCACGAACGATGAGATTTCTACAAAATTCTCAGTATTTCACCTGATGAAGCTACTGTGTAAGCGAAACATGTCGTGTGATTGAGAATTTTGTAGAAATTTTATCGTTTGTGAAGTTTTCACAAAAGAATTCCTGGCACTATACAAAAGGTATTTTTCATGTGGTACCACTATTGGCATCTCTGAAATAGCAAATGATACGAAATTGGATAAATTGAAAAGTCGCCTATTTGAGTCAACAATGAAACAATGTTTCCAAATTAAAAATAACACCCATACCAAAATAGTATTCTTATCATTAGAAATATGATGAAGGAATTGATGGGCAGAAATTTAGAAAATCTGAACTCGGTGAGATAATAACCACTTAAATTCATTTGGAGAAACACAGTTTCGTATTTGGAGAAATTCATGCCGATTTTTGGAGACATATAGCTGCGGGTGGCTCCGAAGAACGAAACATTGTATCAAAAATCGAAGCACAGCACATCGAAGCAAATAATTTGAAACATGAAGTAAAGTTTCTTGGACACAGAAAAACATACACAAAAATAAGAAAACCAGCTATTTGGGTTTTAACCGTGTATTCAGAAGTTTGAAAACATAGTCGTTAATATGGTCGCTTTAGAATCTCACTATATAATGTCAGTGAAAGTCGTGAATTCTGAAGTCGCGTTTATTTCTCGCATGTACCGGGTGTACCACTAAGAAAGGACGCCGGCTGTATCTCGGAAATTATTTGCCGCACAGGTTTCGGAAAAAAATATTTATAATAAAAGTGGCCAAGAAAAATCTCTGGAAATTATTTTCAAGTTTCCAGGACAGCCGCTAGAGGGCATAATTGCATTCGCCAATTTGAAAAACGGATTTTTAAGGAAGTTTGATATATCAAGACATATCAAAAAAAGTCTTTCCATGAGCTCGAGTTGATTTTCAATCATTACGATGAAAAAAACTGCGCTAGCTCTTCAAATAAAAGAGGGAGGGAAGAATGAATAGTACTTTGGAAAAACTCTCATCACTACAGTTTGGTGTAACGGAATCCAATGATCTTGGTCTTATTATGAAGGGTTTTTCCAGATCTTCCAGATAAATCACGAATCAAGTCGATTCAAATCTCGTGGTGAGCGCTAGATGGCATCGTTTGAAGAATCAGCCGATTTGCCTTTTGTTTTTCGAGAATTTCGAATGTAACCATATATTTTTCCTGCTATAATATGAAAGTAAAGTGAACGAGAACAAAAATGGTGAAAACCGCGAGTTGATACTTCTTGAAGAACCGGAGAAATATTCGGAATAATATCATTAAAATTCAAACTGCTAGCATGTCAAATGCCTCCTCATTCGATATCGGCATTTTGACAAAAAAGCAATCCACAATGAACAGTGAAAACTTCCAAAGGAACTTCAATTATATTTTGACGTTTCTTTCATTCAAAGACAACTCGCCTTTTCTCATTCCTGAGCTTACTTACTACTTACATTTCAATTAGCTAGGTATATCATTACTAAGAGTTACCTTCACTATTGTGAGATATAACAGCAGTTTGTGAAATCAGAATGAATGAATTATTGAAATCATAATTCCATAGATACAGGATATTTCTGATTACGATTATTGAAGTTTGATTCCTGTGGTGAATATTTTCATAATATTATTCCGAGTATTTCACTGGTTCCTCAAGAGGTATTAATTCGCGGTTTTCACCATTTTTCTTCTCGTTCGCTCTACTTTCATATTAGAGTAAAATAAATATATGGTTCCATTTGAAATTCACGAAAAAAATGGAAAATTGTCTGATTTTTTCGAACGATGCCATCTAACGGCCACCACAGAATTTAAATCGACTTGATTCGTTATTCATCTGGAAGAACTAAAAAAATCCTCCATAATGAGACCAAGATCGTTTTATTCCGTTACACCAAACTGTAGTAATGAGAGTTGTTTCAAAGTACTATTCATCCTCCCCTCCCTCTTTTATTTAAAGAGCTAGCGCAATTTTTTGATCAAAATGATTGTGAATCAACTTGAGAACATGAAAAAAGTGTTTTTGATATGTCTTGATATATCAAATTTTCATAAAAACCCGTTTATTGAACTCGCCAATGCAATTACGCCCTCTAGCGGCTGTCCTGGAAACTTGCAAATAAATTCCAGAGATTCCTCTTGTCCACTTTCATCATTCATATTTTCTACACCCGGTACTTATCTCCATCAATTTCCACTGATTCAATCAAAATCTCTACATCTCTTTCCAGGAGAATGAGAAAGTATCTTTCATCGGTCCATCAGCCCGTTGTATCACAGGCATGGGTGACAAACTGGAATCCAAGAGATTAGCGATGGCGGCAGGAGTCAACACCATTCCTGGATTCGATGGCATAGTGAAAGATGCTGATCACTGTGTTGACATCTCGAGGAGAATAGGCTACCCCGTCATGATCAAAGCATCGGCAGGGGGAGGTGGTAAAGGAATGAGGATAGCAAGGAATGATAATGACGCCAGGTAAAATACAAATGATGACCACAAGGTTAAAGAAATACTACGCTACTGAGGCTGATCAGCAACGCCGATGAGCACACTATCCCCAACCGGAAATGGGGAAGTTTCCTTCCGATGAATTTTCATCAAATAAGTTCGGAACTCTTCAGTTTTATATCCAAGCTGTACAGAATACAGAATGGCGACCGAAATTCCAAGTCGTATTCATTTTCAAATTAAATCAATTCCTAATTTTCTGGACGGCAAACTGTGACGTACATTCTGAATCTATTCTGCAAATAGCTGATGATGTAGAATATAGCTAGCGAACGAATGAAAAACGAATTAAATAAATAGAAGAAGAAATGAAACTGGTAAATAAAAACATACATAACCACAAATGCACTCAGAGCAGGAATGCAGAGGGTAGTTGGCTTCATTCTGACAGGTTATGATTTCATTATTTATACATCGAAATATCTCGAATAGAGCTCGATTCTGAACGAAAATATTATCGAATCAATGAATCACTATCGGCTACATTCGATGATACTATCCTTCCTAATTTACTATCATCGGTCAGAACTGAATGAAGCCGACACCCATGGCTCCTTCCTCTTGTTGTGCCTGTCAGTATATTGAGTGGTATGGATGGACTCGAAGTATTAGACGCTGTTGCAAGATATAATCTGCAATTTTCCTAGAAAATAGATTCGTTTTATTAGGGAACGAATTCATTATCAAAATGATAACTGACAAGTTATAAATAACATATTGTAATATAACGATATCGGAAGATCATAGATACTATCGCGAAATATCATGATTTATCTTTATTAGTAATCAACTCCATTCAGACATTGAGAGATCTATGTAAATTATTCATAATACTTGACAAAGTATATAGGATTGAAGAACCTATTGTATCCCATTGCTGTTATAATATTGTTATTATGCATTCAAAGAACGATTATGATGATGATGATGTTGGCAACGTCGTACTGGCACAGGGAATCGTATTTTAACACTGTGTGAATGTGGATTTTCAGAAAGTACGTCATTGGAATGGTGGAGGAGCCAAATTCCTATTTTATTTATTTTTTTCTGAAGTGAAGTTTGATCTTACGAAAGAAAGAAACAATGCATTTACAATAATTTTTCACAAACTTCACAATGAGATGAGAACCTCAATATAGAGAACTTCCCCATTTTGCCGAATCCTCTGGTGTTCAAACCAGAAGTAGGGATCTTCAACGAGTCCAACATCCATGGCCTCGGGACCGCCGGCTTAACGTCCTCTTCGAAGGACAGCATATTCGTACCATATCTTGTGTTCATTGATATGGTAGCTGTAGCTATGATATCCTAATTCGCTAAAGATGTGCGGGCTTACGCGGCGTTTCCTCGAATGTTCACCTCAGATATCGAACGGCTAGTATTAAAGTCGTTTATTCTCTGCATAATATATACATCACATGAAATCACACAGATTGTATAAATGAAGAGGAACTGTATATGTTCAAGAACTGTATAGATAGAATCCTCCGAGTGAGACAGAGTTGGCTGGTGTTAGCCTAAGAATGTGAGATCATATGTGAACTGTTCGTCACAGCGGCCTATCTCCTAGGGCTAAGCCCTTTATTATAGGTAATCTCACTGAGGATACCCAATGGGTGGGGAAATTGTTCAGACGCTATCAGTGGCGAGTGTTGTGTTTGTGGAGGAAAATGAAATTAGAAAAACTAAAACCTCCTTCTCGTGTATAAAGGCTAGTGTCTTACATGAGAAGCTAGGGCGATGCTCAAGTCATAATGTAGTGAAAATCTACCTGACACCACCAGCTGATTGCCTAACGCTTATATTTTAGTATGAACAGAAGTCCATTGCAATAATGGTGCAGAGTAGTCATCAGCTAATATGCTAGGCGTTTGAAAATATCATGAACAAAGAAAAACGCGAAATGTCCACATCAGAAATGAAAGGGGAACATCCAAGCTTATTGCTTGCTCAAGTACAGATTTCATTCTGATTTTGATAGGTTGTTTGTTTTCAGACTGTCAATAGGTCAGACGATGAAACTTTCAGGCAAACAAAAAATTCAAGAAAAGGAGAGATACGTCCGGCTGAGTGATGGGATTGAAATAATGAGATTGCTACATGATAATTCCTACTCATGTAGCGTGTTATTCATAAAAGATGAGAAATAGTATGACAACTCACCGCATATTAGTTAGTTAGGCGAGAATGAATAAATGAACCAGAGCAGATAATTGGGAATAAACAATCCTCTGAGTTGTGATATTGCTGCAGCGCTACATTATCAAACTTCACCTTCACAATATTGCTGAACGTCCATTTCAGTTATTGCTTCAACATTGCATCAATATAGCTTTCAACTTTGCTCAGTGGAATATATTTATGGAAATTCAGAGAGGCGATCTCTGAAATGTTCACGATCTTTTGTGAGAAATATCTTCTCGAAATATTAATGAAAAACAATTTTTTTCAAAATGATCTTTTCATTATTATCTTGCAAACGCTTGAGACGATTTGAATAAAATTCTTATGGTTTATTTACACAACTTCAAGACATTTACTGGTCCAATTAGATTTGATCCAGAATCTCCAGGGGCGCACTCGGCAAGTCGGCTTTTTTTGTAGTAAAAAGAGTCACCCTGTATTTTTTCTGTGGAGCTTCTTGAATATTCAGATAAAACCACTGAAATACAAATAAAACAGTGGCGTACAATGATTTTATCAATATAAGATAGATTACCCGCTGCGACGCTACTGGAAATAATGATTTCATTCTTAGTAAACAGTAAACAGGAGCCCCTTATCACCTCAAATGAGCATGCCAAGTTTTATCAAAATCAGACCAAAGGTTTATGAGTAATCAATGAAAACATTTCTCCTAAGAACTTTGACACCCTATATCTCTAAAATGAAGCAAGTTAGGACACATGCTTATTGAAAGAAAAAGTCTTATTTCTGCCTAAAAAACTGATCCTAAACGTTTGGCGGTTTAACCCTGGGTCACCCTGTATAATGAAAACCTTTTTTTTTCATCATCGCGCCCTATATCTGTATAAAATGGAGGATCGATTTTTTTTCAGGGAAGGTTTCAAACTGTCAACCCAAGAAGCCCAGTCGAGTTTCGGTGATAGTCGAATGTTAGTAGAAAAATTCATAGATAATCCAAGGCATATAGAAATTCAAGTATTAGGAGATAAACACGGGAATGTGATCCATCTCAATGAAAGAGAATGCAGTATACAAAGAAGAAACCAGAAAGTAATAGAAGAAGCGCCAAGGTAAGAAATACTTCAAAACAATTATCTATCGATGATAATAAAGACTTTCGATAATCAAAATTATTTCCAACTATATGATCTTTTATTTCTGAGATTGCGAATAGAAAAATTGTGCATTTGTGTCCCGCATTTCAGTTTTTATTTGTGGAATTTGAGGACAAACCGACATTATTGGTGATCATTCGTACTGAAACCTACAGATGCTGATGATGATGATAAGAAGCATAGATTGGAAGATATGTTCCATTGTTTATATCATTATTTTTTGAATCAGGGTGGGGAGAACAACCTATCAAATAATTATTCCCAACTCTAGGTGAATCATCACCCTACCCTATATACCCATGATTTTCTCATTAAAATTACTGATACATTTCGAAATTTTTATCAATATTTTCAAGCTCTCTCGATTGAGTTCAGTCAATAAATCAACGATCATTTATCTTGACTTTCGACCTTCAGTTCTCAGAATTCAAATTCAATTCAAAAGAAATGAATAACGAAATCAAAATCAGCTCATTGTTAGGAAATTTCTGTTATTATCATTGAAGTAAGTATCAATATCAACTTGCAACATACGATACTTATTTATCTACTTTCATCTTCATTGTTTGGTCAATGGTTTATGGTTCAAATCTCGACCATTTTTGAAAAAGCACTTTTCCAAAAGAAGATCATCTGTCAAATCTAATGATGACTAGACAATAATTTTTTTACTTTGTCAAGTGTACCATGGATAGTCATGCTGCATAATATTTTGCATCGGGTCTTCTTAGGAAACCAACTTTTGACTTGTCTAATTCTAAGATTCGTTGACACCCGGTATGTAGAGTGTAATTTCTTATATTCAAACAGTTTCTACAGGATTCATCATTGAAGATAGAAAAAAACTTCAAATACAAAAGTTGTGGGGTTCGTTGTGAACCTCCACGAAATTTTACGAGGCGAAACAAATGAATATCACTGATGTAAGAGATAGGTACCAACTTCGTTATTTCCAAGCACACTATCTTTCTCTTCTGATTCCAAAATATTTAGGTTGTTGATATTCGGTTAATTTACTAGTATATTACGTAATATGATTGTGTTGTAATGAGCATATTACGCACGAATCTTGTTGTTGCTATAGAACTCTCACGAAATTTATCAATAGTAACGGATTAAGACAGCGAATGTAATTCGGCGTCATTATACAGGGTATGTCACGACGAGCTTACACTATATTTATATCGAGAATCAGTCTGTAGAAATCCATGAAAATGTGCGTGCTTATATTTCAGGATACTCTCTCTTCATTTAAAATATTTTCGACAATGCAGTGTTGCCGCTTCTACTGGAAAGTATTAGCAACCTTGATATTTCAAATAAAACACCCTGTATTTTATCGCATTCTGAAATTTTTCCTGAAGAGCTGATTTCATCGATATGTCACACTTGGGGTCCATCGAAAATATAGTTACAGAGATAACGAGTGTTCAAAATCGAGATTTTTCAACTTAAGGATTTTTTGTGTCGAAACTATTCATTATCGGTCAGAACGGTCACATGTTCCAGTCTCAACTTTCGATTCACTATTTACTGATATTCAATCGGAACAGATACAGGGTGGTTCAAGATTCAGAATTCTGATCACCCTGTATCTGTTCCGATTAAATATCTGATGTAAATAGTAAATACGAAAGCTGAGAAAGGGACATGCGAGCTGTTTTGTCTGATAATAAATAGTTTCGACTGAAACAAATCCTAAAGTTGAAAAATCTCGATTTTGAACACTCATTTTTCTCTGTAATCATTTACGATAGTCTCCAAGTTAGATATATTGATGGAATCAGTTCTCCAGGGAGAATCTAAAAATGCACTAGGATACAGGGTATTTTATTTGAAATACTAAAGTTGTTGCTACTTTTCGATGGAAGCGGTAACACTGCATTGCTGAAAATATTCTTAATGAAAAGAACGTATTCCAAAATATGAACAAGCATATTTTCATGGATTTCTTCCGACATCAGATTCTTGATATAGAGATAGTCTAAGATCGTCGTGACATACCCTGTAAATTTACCATATATTTTCGATATCAGAAGAGAAAGATCTTCAATTTTTTCGAAGAAAACTTAGGGTGTTTCATTGAAAATAATGAGTTGGTACCCATTTTTTTATTTCAGCTATATTCATTTATTTCCCCTCGTTCAATTTTCTGAAAGTTCGGAACGAACCCTATACAACTTTTGTATTTTGAGTTCATTTTTATCTCAAATGATGAACCCTTCAGAAGCTATGTGAATATTTGGAATGTCCCTGTACAGGGTGTCTCACTTGAATGTGTCACCCTCCTTATTCATCCTCGTAATTGTTAACAACTTTTGGCCATTCAAAAATAATTTTTTACATTTTTCTCAATATGTGCTCACTTCTGCCTCATATCAACAAAATGCAGGGTGGTTGAAAAAAGGTTTGTTTTCAAATGAGAAGATCTGTTTATTATATATGAATGACATATATTCTTCTTCTTCTTCTCTGCACAGGTGGGCGGGTGCGTAGACCCCTGCACTCAGGCCTCTTCAGTCTGGCCCATTGTGCGCCCACTTCCTGTGAATCAGCTGGGCATGCCGATTTCTTTGACGAAATTCAACAGCTTCCTCAGCTGAGTCGCTTTCACATCCTTTGGGTGCAGTACAATGCTCCCAAAGGCAGCTTTCCTCTGATGCACCAGCGCGAGGCATTCAGAGTATGTGTGATGATGTTTCATCATCCTCCAAGCACCATCTGCAGATGGGGTCATCTTTGATCCCTATGAGTTCTAGGTGTCTGTTGAGGTGGTTGTGCTCAGTTAAGAGCCCAACTACCATCTTGAGATCCCTTCTATTGAGTGACAGGATCTCTCTCGTGAGCCTTTTTGAAGGTACCTTTATATGGAGCTTTGGAGCTTCGATTGTCTCATTCCTGGTGTGTCCCGCCATGTTTCAAGGAACTGCCTCTGTAGCGTTTCCTTCATGAAGGACATAGCCGTACTATTGGGTATTCCCAATATCGATTCTGGTCCAATGGGTGTCGTTCTTGAACCGATCTTGGCTAGTCTGTCTGCCTCCTCGTTCCCCGGGATATGAATGACATATATTTTTGAATTCTAATTGACGGGCTTCATCTAATTATGGAAGAAAATATAGATCATTTCATTTGGAAAAGAAACTTTCTTCGAGAAACCCTATAATTTGTTGATATAGAGAAAAAGTGAGCTCAGATTGAAAAAAAATTTGAAAAACTTATTCCAGAAAAGTTTTTGAATAACCAAAATATGTTGAGAATTACGAGGATGAAGGAGTGGTAACCCTGTACATAAATTCTACACTATGACTTTTTTCGAATATATATCTTATGAATTTCCAGTGTTTTCCTAGATGAAGCCACACGTAAGGCTATGGGCGAGCAAGCAGTGTCTCTCTGCAAGAAACTAGGATACTCTTCGGCAGGCACGGTGGAATTCCTGGTGGATTCGAATCGAAACTTCTACTTCTTGGAGATGAACACCAGACTGCAAGTCGAGCATCCCATCACCGAGTCTATTACTGGAGTGGACCTTGTTCAGCAGATGATCCGAGTGGCCAAAGGACACAAACTGAACATTAGTCAAGAGGATGTGAAAATAAATGGCTGGGCGATTGAGAGTAGGGTGTATGCAGAGGATCCTTTCAAGAATTTTGGATTGCCAAGTATAGGTGAGTTGTTCGAGCAGTAGTTTTAATGATTGTTCGCAGAAAACACCACCTTCTATTCCCAGAGAGTACCGTCAAAATTGTGATAGCCATAGACTAACCAATCCCTGGAAAAGAAAATAAAAATCTGCCCAGCAACTATAGGGTGATTCACATAAGTACCGACAAAGAGCAGGGGCATGTAGGGGGTACCAAAATATGGCAATTCAACGCAACTAACCTCTATACCAAGTTGCTTCCCTAAGGAGTTATAGGCTTTGAAAGTGAAGTTATAAATTTTGAAAAAAAATCAATATCTCCGTTATTGTTGAACTCAAAGCAACCAAATTTAGTACAGTTTGTGGATGTATCCAGGGCGTTACTTGACAGTAACTAGAGCTTAATTGAAATTTGTAAAGGGGGTATACCGGGTGGCGCACTATTAATATTCAACAGAATTTTGTTAACCCTTGATGGATTTCAAAAATCTTTGCTCTGTTGTGTGGGAAATTCAATTTTAAAACTTCTCTTACTCCAGTAATTTTTCGAAACACCTCATCATTTTCATCAAAAACTCGAATAACTGAAAACGCGCGCTCTAGGTGTGTTATTTAAAATGATCGAAAATTCAAAAGTTGGCTATGAAAATAAACGTACAACAAGAAAGTAGGTCATTGATTGTGATCAGAAAAAATTGGCTGGCAAATTATTATTTAGATACGTAACAAAATACGTAAAGTAAGTACAGATACTGAAATGTGAAAAACTGGGATTAACAACTAACCAAAATAAACACAAAAAACTTGAACAACAACCAGAACAAACAATTGTTTATCGATAAATTACTTAATTGAACAACTTACTTGCTTCATTGTCAAGTTTGGCGTTTATTTTCATAGCCAACTTTTGAATTTTCGATGATTTTAAGTAACACACCTAGAGCACGCGTTTTCAGTTTTTCCAGTTTTTGATGAAAATGATGAGGTTTTTCAAGAAATTACTATACTAAGAAAAGTTTTAGAATTGAATTGCCCACACAACAAAGCAAAGATTTTTGAAATCCATCGAGGGTTAACAAAATTCTGTTGAATATTAATGGTGCGCCACCCGGTATACTCCCTTTACAAATTTCAATTAAGCTCTAGTTACTGTCAAGTAACGCCCTAAATACATCCACAAACTGTACCAAATTTGGTTGCTTTAAGTTCAAGAATAACGGAGTTATTGATTTTTTTCAAAATTTATAACTTCACTTTCAAAGCCTATAACTCCTTAGGGAAGCAACTTGTATAGAGGTAAGTTGCATAAAATTGCCATATTTTGGGACCCCCTACATGCCCCTGCTCTATGTCGGTTCTTATGTGAATCACCTTGTATAGGCATATCGCGTTTTCATCAGTTATTTCCAAAATGATGGAGAAAGCCATCAAAATTCAGCTCATCTGAAATCTGGAGAAACATGGAGAATATCTAGCTGTGGCGTTAGATATATCGAAAGCATTCGACCATGTTTGGCACCAAGGACTCCTCTACAAACTACTTTCATACGACTTACCACCTCAGCTATACTATCTTTTATCGAGTTCTCTTTCTGATACCATGTGGTTGGTAGATGAAGTATCGTCTGATACCATAGCCTCAATTCCGACGTCCCATATAAGGATCAATTTCGGCACCAACATTGCTCCTACACCATATCAATGACCTCTTGACAAAATCCACCTGCTCTTGTTACAGCTTTGCAGTACTCTTCATACTGCGTTCTCTTCCAGAATTCCAATTCCATATCAGGAAACTAAGCATTGAACATTAACGCGCTCGCTTTACTCGCACATTAAAATAACCTGTTCATTAATCACCCTCCCCAAGTAGGTTATGAATGCTTTGTACAGACATATTCAAGACCATTTTCAAAAGTTCTGTACTATGCTCTAACGTTAGTATATATGGCAATACGATATAAAGGCGCACTGTCGCTTCATCACATCGACATTATAATGTAGTCGTAATGTCTTGCTAATAATGACTTACATGTCAATTGTAAAAGAGTTGTATTGGAATATTATTAGTACGTCGTTGTTTAGTCATTTGTTGTCATTATATCATTATGCATGAAGGTCATGAGCTGAATATCTAATGTATTACAATACGTTTATATCAAGAGTTGTGAGCTATTTTTTTCATAATATATAGTTCAGTTTTCTTTCCATAATCTCCCTTCTACAAATGACTGCCATGTTATGATAGTCACTATATATGGAGATGAAATTGAATATTATTTTTGACTGAAAATTGTTAGCAATAAGAGGGACCATAGAGTGACTTAACAATCCCATTTTGACGAACCGAATTCAATTATACTCACTTAAAAGTCATGAGCCTCGGAAATAATGCTGAATAAGGGTAATTTTCAATTCCTGGAGAAATATATTTAATCAATTTTCCACATGAATCGTCAAAATAATCCACCATCATACGTTATCTACTTTATTCGTCGATCTCAATTATATTCCAAGACGATATAACGCCCATAGTAGTGTCTATTTCGTTTACAATATTTTTGTTGCAATATGGCTGCCAAAATTCTATTCTCATTCTTACAGAAAACATGGATGCAATCCTCTGTGTATCGAAGAGTTGTAATCACTCTGCTATGTACTATCATCGAATGATTTGCGATTGTCCTGAAGACATCCCAATAACTGAGATAAAGGAGTCGTAATGTAGTAGCTTTCACCACTGTAATAGTCACGTTAAGCAAAGTTGTACTTACTATGCAACGACAATATGACAACTGTGATCTTCGTGTGATTGCAAATAGAGGTTATATTGGTATATTTTTGTTTTAAACTCATGTAATCTGGAACTGACTTCTATTTATCAATTGTCTCACAGTATGATGGCTTCCATCTCTGTGAAAAGGTTATTATGAAATAATGCCTAATTCTTCAATTTTTCATTGAAGTCACAAAATATTTCCAAGTATTCCACACTAGCTTTGCCATCAGAATAAATCCCTATGGCGATATCTTGAATTTCAGTGATTGGTCGATGATGTCCAGTATGTATAATTTGGAAACTTCTTCCTTGTATATTTTCCTTCCAGTTTAGACGAGTCTTTGAATTATCTTGCATTCTCACTGGCTGTTCTGTCATTCTTACTATTGATTTTTGAGTATTTGAGCAAGTACTTTCTTTGCATATTCTTTCAGAATGTTTCGAAATGTTCCTGATCGCTTGTTTTGCTTTGGCATTATGAAATAAAATACATAACCAACAAAAATGGTCACATGGCAGATACATATATTGTGGTTATTACGACCAAGTTGGACTATTTGATAAAACTCCATTACATGAGGACAGTTCGTAGTTTTGAAACATTCTAAATATCTTGTTGGTAAAATAGCTATAAATATATTTTTGGAAAAGGATCGATCAGCATTTTATGTATTTACAGGTAGACTTTACAAATACATCGAACCCAACAATCTACCGGGAGTCAGATGTGATAGCGGCATCCAAGAAGGCAGTGAAATCAGCGTCTACTACGATCCGATGATCTGCAAATTGGTTTGTAGTGGTAAAGATAGGAAAGAGGCGATAGATCGAAGCATCCAAGCTCTAGATTCCTATGTGATAAGAGGAGTCACTCACAATATACCTCTACTTCGAGATATTCTCATTGAGAAGAGGTTCAATAGCGGAGATATTAGTACAAATTATTTGCCTGAAATTTATCCAGATGGTTTCAAAGGTAAGGTTAGACTAATCTATATAGGAATAGGAAGGATTGATGCAGTGAATAGGATATTTCGGTTCCTTACATCCCTAGTGATATGAGAAATGGGTACCAATAGAACACCTTATATGTTTTTCAAAAAAATTGAAGAATTTTTTTTCGTGATTCCAAAAATATATTACCTACTCAGTTATTGATATTTGGTTCAGCAGTTTTCGAAATATTCGAAGTGGAAAATTTTACATCCAGTTTCAATTTGATTTTACCATCGTCATAAATAAGAACTACACATACCTACCGAGGTTGTCATCAACAAAACTTTCTATCATATATGTTCATTGCATAGTAGAAATTTGGCTGATTCCAGAGGAAGCATTTTAGAAATGCATTAACAACAATTTTTAACAACAATATTGGACAATCATCACTCAAACTCCATCTGCAATTCGATCAATAAATGGGATGAAGAGTTCAGAAAATATATATTTTCAAGTTCATTCAAACACACACAATTTTGGCACCAACATTATTCCTGTTTCATATCAATGATCTGTTGGGAGTAACAACTTGCCCCATCCACAGCTTTGCAGATGATAGTACCCTCCATACTGCGTTCTGTTCCAGAATTCCCATTTCTTCCCAGGAAACTAAGAACTCACGGCGCAGGCAGGTCAATGCTGTCAATGAAGATCTTGCTGAAATCACAGCCTGGGGAACGAACAACCTAGTTGAATTCAACGCCACCAAAACTCAAGCCTGCATTTTCTCTAGAAAGGCGGAACTCAGTATGCCCGATATTGTAATGTCTGGCTCCACCATCCCCACCATATCTATGCTCGGTATTTACATCAGCAACACTCTTTCATGGGATAATCATGTCAGATCCATCGCAAAAGCTGCTTCACAAAAACTCGGATTCTTGTTCCGTGCGAAAAGCTACTTTACACCTCAACAGCTTCTCATGATCTACAAAGCGCAGATACGGCCTGTTCTAGAATACTGTTCCCACATATGGGGTTCAGCACCAAAACATACGCTGATGCTCTTAGATTCCATCCAGAGAAGAGCCATTCGCCTGGTGGGTGACGCCACACTCACTCACTCTTTGACATCATTGGAACACCGTAGAAAGGTCGGCGACCTTTCACTTTTCTATCGATACTTCCACGGGAAATGTTCTTCGGAAATCTCTGCTATCATCCCTTCACTAGCAATACCAATCAGACGAACTAGACAAGCCCAGTCAGCACATCCTTTCGTTGTCAACCTCGAAAGATGTCGAACAGCACTTTCTCAAGACTCCTTCATCCATAGAACGGCTAGGCTCTGGAATTCATTGCCTGTGGAAGTATTCCCAACAACATATAATCCCCAAAAGTTTTAAAAAAATTCCAATACCTACCTCCTGTCCCTATCCTCCCTAGGAACGCACGATGTTCTTTGAACATTATAGGGATTCCCTTTCGTGTGCTCCAAGCGATAAAAAAAACATCTGTGAAATTGAATTTCATTTCAAATCTCCATCTCCTTCAACAATGCGATAAAAGTGTGTTTTATTCATTCATGGCAATTGCGATTTGGTAAAATAAAATCAAAACTATATGTAATTATTCAACCTCGAATATTTCGGAAACGGCTGAACCAAATATCAATAATCAATATATTTTTGATATCAGGTAGGTACCCATTTCTCATATCAGCGATATTCATTCGTTTGATCTGGTATAACTTTCTGGAGGTTCAGCCCATGCATTTAAAGTTTTTTCTATCTTCAATGATGAACCCTGTAGAACCTCAATGAATATACAGAATAAAGTTGTACGTTTATATACTTCAAATTAAATTTTTGTCGATTTTCTTGTGTGGTTCTGTTTCTATCACTGTTTATCCATCAGCATACCTACCAACTTATGGACCTTCTACGAGAGAACTGCTTACCTATTCAATGTTCTTATCACAAAGTATCCTCTTTCCGTAGGTCTCCAATTGAAAAATGAAGAAACACACAAACTCCTTGCCATGGGCTCTGCAATATTCGCCACGAATGAACTCAGAAGAAGACAATTCTTGAACGCACCAAAACACAAGATTTACGGAGAAAATCTCGACAGGTGGCAACTTTATATAGAGCTCAACGATAAGAAATTCCAAGTGAAAGTTTCGCAGACCAATGGGAAATTCGTGATCAACTTAGGAGAAGAAGTATTCGAGATAAAGAAGACTGATATAAACTTGGCGAAACCGATATTGAAGATCAAATTGAACCAAGATGACGAAGTTATTCAATTGATGTCGAAGAATGCTAGTGGATATTACCATATAGTGTAAGTGCATGTACGAATCATCTCAACCTTTTTTCTGGTTAGCCTCACTTTTTCATGAGTAAAGAGTTCAAAAAACAAATGAATACGTCAAAGAATGTTTACTACTTGTACTACATGTACTACACTAACACACGGAATTACATTCGTTATCTCCAACAACGAAAGAGTTATAGGAGTGAGCCAATTTTGAGAAACGCCTGGGTTCACACATGATTTGATCAGGCAGCAATAATAGTTTGAGATTGCTTACATTTTGGGTTTGAAATTTTGGGCATAACACTTTGTCCTATACGTTTACAGTCACCTAAACGATTACAGTTCATAGTGTGGTCCTAAAGTTTCAAGTACAATACATGTCAGTAGTACTTGATCAACACTGATTTTGATCAAAAAGCACTGATGACACTTCAAATTGCTAGGTGAATATGATTCTAGACTATCCCAAGACCGATTCTCACTGTAGATTGTCAAGTGGAATTTAGTTATAAATCAAATCAGAATCCGTTATATTTTCATTTAGTTAGACACTCTAGAGCTCGATGTTTTCAGATATAGTTTTCAACCTTACGAAATTTTCTCAATCATCTTGCGAAAATCAATTCAAATCCACCTGAAATCAAGTGCAGAAGATGGATTTTGATGTTCATTAGGAATAATTTCAAACGAAATATATTATTTTATTAATCATCTGGTATCAACTTGGGATTTGATCTCTCTGCTGATGATTACTTCGACCATCAAATTTGAGCTCACTTATAGTAGTAATAGTAGTAGTAGTAGTTTTATTCTGTGTGATAAAATAATTATATACATTCGTCAGGCAAAGTCAGGCACAATATACAATACAACATACAATACACATATCAATAAAAAGTAAAATCAAACAATATATACAATCACTGATAATACATAAATTATTCTTAAAAGCATACATTGAAATGTTTATAAAATTCTTCCATATCATAGAACACATTTTCTCTCTGGAAATGTTTACAATGATTTGTAAACTTTTCCAAATTTAATTCTCTCCATTCTTCTGGCAGATTGTTGAAACATTTGAGGGACTGGTATTTGTAGGATTTTGAATTTTTGTCGAGTCTTAACCATGAACTCTTTTTGTCAATGACAACAATAATCGTGAATTGAAAGTTTGCAAAAAAGTAAGGAAAGAAGTTTTTGGAACTGAAGATCATTATACTTTTGCAGGTACAAAGGCACAACTTACAAATTATATATTATATCACAAAGATCTGCAGACTATCTCCATGTAATGCCTGAAAAAATCAAATTCGATATTTCGAAGCAGATCAGATCCCCAATGCCTGGTCTAGTCAAATCGATTTCCTGCAGTATTGGTGATGAGGTCGCTGAAGGACAAGAACTGTGTGTGATAGGTGAGACTATATACTCATTCTCTAAGTATAAACAAGATTCCTAGTGCATGTAAGCATATAATCGTTAATAATTGTGAAAAGTGAATCAAACAAAAGTTAATGGAATTGAACGCTATATGACTTTAATCAGCTATTATTTTCCATTACAAGTATTTCAAAGTCTTTTAACAATATTTAGTAAGGGAAGATTGTATTAGATGAGTAGCGGAGTTCATGTATAATCTCTTGTTTAGTGACTCGTAGAGAATTGGCGTTTATATCAAACTTATTTTATATGATATAATACTTTACATTACAGAGGCTATGAAGATGCAAAACTCGATGGTAGCACAAACCAGTGGAAGAATCAGATGTATTAATATTCACCCAGGAGATACAGTTGGAGATGATGATATTTTGATTGAATTGGCTTAAAAATATTGTTCAAATCTGTGATACCTACTCAGTAAAGTTCTGAGAATAATAACTTTGTTTTTCTTCAGTTTCTCTTGTCAACTTGTCCTCAGATATGTATTCATGAGGATATCTTCTTCTTCTTCTACAAAGAAACTCATTCGAACTTCATCTATCCATTTGTATATCAATCACTCTGAAGTATAATCAAACCCAGTATCTAGTTTATCATCTTAGATAGGTATACTGTCTTAATCCAAGTAAGTAAGTAGTGTGTCCCACTTACCATGCTCACCATGGGTAACTTTTTAACGGTGAGAGATACGAGGTCGCTTAAATGACACCAAATGTGGAGTTTGTCAAGGCCAACTATAATGTGAAAAAATATTTTGATAAAATCTATTCGTTTTCGTTTTATACGCAAAAAACAGATTTTGATCATTTTCATGTCTCCTCCGTAACTTCTTTATTTATGAAAATATTCAAATAGGAATTTCACATTCTCATGGCAGTTTTTCAAAGTGATTTCGAAAAAAATATGAAATTTATACCAACTTTTCTAGAATTTGAGATATCAGCACCAACTTTAGTTTTTCAAATGTAGGTCATAGCTCACTATGACTAAGTTACAAAAAACTTTTTTTTCTCTTACAGATGATATGTCGCAGTAATAGTTTTGTGTTGATAACAACGGAGTTATCGTCATTTATACAAAACCAATAAATTATTTGGAAGCCGCCATCTTGAATTTATAAATTTCAACAAAGAAATCATGATCTCCGACCTCAAAAACCCCCACTTACCAATTTTGAATGGAATCGGACCAAATCTTGTCCGCCATCTTGGAGCAGCCATTTTTGTTAACTGATGGCGGACAAAATTTGGTCCGATTCCATTCAAAATTGGTGAGTGGGGGTTTTTGAGGTCGGAGATCATGATTTTTTTGTTAAAATTTATAAATTCAAGATGGCGGCTTCCAAATAATTTTTTGTTCCTGTATAAATGACGATAACTCCGTTGTTTTCAACACGAAACTATTACTGCGATATATCATCTGTGAGAGAAGAAAAAGTTATTTGTAACCAAGTCATAGTGAGCTATGACCTACATTTGAAAAACTAAAGTTGGTGCTGATATCTCAAATTCTAGAAGAGTTGGTATAAATTTCATATTTTTTTCGAAATCACTTTGAAAAACAGCCATGAGAATGTGAAATTCCTATTTGAATATTTTCATAAATAAAGAAGTTACGGAGGAGACATGAAAATTATCAAAATCTGTTTTTTGCGTATAAAACAAAAACTAATAGATTTTATCAAAATATTTTTTCACATTATAGTTGGCCTTGACAAACTCCACATTTGGTGCCATTTAACCGACCTCGTACTCTCACCGTTAAAAAGATACCCATGGTGAGCATGGTAAGTGGGACACACTGTATACCTACACAACTTCTATAAACTTATAGAGTTTTCTACTATGTCACATGCAATGGAATTTTACTTCTCCAATCCGTAGAAATTCCGACTTATATCTCGAAATTTTGAAGATTTCCTCAAACTTTCAGAATACTTTATTATTTGATCTGATGAATGTTGAAACTCCTGGTAGTTACAATATATGGTGTTTTTCTCTGTACATACCATACCTGGTAGATAGAGGACATTTTGATGATTCCAAATCACTCCTCATTGCGATGTGTCTTTTATAACTGAGATACAGGACGTTAGCTTGATTTTGGCAATATTTCCATCTGGACATAACTATCGAACCACTTTGTATGATCAATCCATATTTGGTAAAAATATTCCACTTATATTACCCATCAAAACTAAATGAAACGCGGAATCAGAATCCAGGTTCGTGTTGAGAAGAAACAGAAAACTTCTTCAATTTCAAAAACAACACTATGTATTGTGTTGATCCACCCCTGTATAAGGGATATGTTGTCAGATTATATACCGAGCGGCTGGTATGTTTATACAGGGTGTGGAATCTACAGCAGATATTAAATTGTGTGGGTTCGGACTATGATGGTGCCAGAATGCAGGAGAAAAACAAATACAAAGATAATAAACTAAAATCAAAGAAATAGACTACATTCATGATCAGAAACCTAACAAATTCAAATATTCAGAAAACTCAAACTCACTTATATCTCAAATTTAAGAAAATATCTAGAAACTCAAATAGGTAATCACTCTATAAATTCGTCAAATCAAAAATATTCAATATACAATCAATAATCATGAACCAGTATATTTATTCACCCTAGGTTTTCCTACAATGAAAACTCTCAACTCAACGTTAATATTCTTTAAAACAACAAATAAACTTCCCTTTATAAACCTCTTGGAAGAATACACTCAGTTAAACTATCTATATCAAAACTCAACCCTACTTCTACTCTAAGCCCATATACTAATATCTAAGACTTCTCTAACCATCCCTTATTTCGATACCTCTCATCAAGTTAGTTTGCAAAACCCTTATACGTCTAATTCATTAAACAACATCCTAACCCTTGACACTAATAGGTTGACTGACTATAGTTTCTTCAAACTGTCCATTATATTATCGTTAGAAAGTTATGTTGAATGTCAAAAACACTTTCAGTCCTATAGTCTGTTAAATGTAACCACAAAGACATACCAACTTGCTTGGGAGTTGAAAGAATTGCCATCATCTCTTTCTCACTTGCACTGATTCTAATAACCACTATAGATAGGTACTTCTATGCACTTCGCGATCTATTCTGATTCTATTGGAGCTACATCTTTACTAGTTGACGTCTCGAGAGTTAATGATCAATTGAATTTCCATTTCTTACAATGAAGTGTTTTTATAGTCAAAAACAACAAAGCAAGTTACGTCATTCTTGTTATTTGGTTTTAGTTCACTCATGGAAGGGATTTCATAGATTCATATGGCAATAACAATAAATCAAATCATATTCGTTTGTCGGTCTCAATAATTAGCGCATTCTTGGAGATACCAATTTCAAGGTTGATCTAGAGTCATTAAAATAAATATTGAGTATCTGAAATTTGCCGACAAAAGATGTTTACTTAACGGGTATGAATTCCATTTTCAATATTTCAATATTTTCCTTAGATAGTATTTCGCGGGGCATAACATCCGTCCATCCCCTATTTGAAATCGAAATATAGGTATCATATATTTCGATTTCAGTCCTCACATGGTAACTCTAATTATAAACTCTCAACGAAACAATCTCAAAACTCTAAGTATCCTACTCATATTACATAGTAACCTAAAATAGCATTCTTAAAACTATACAAGAAACAACTATAGAATATCTGTTGGCTGATCTTCAACAATAACCAGATCTGTCGTTGTCCATTTAAGTTTCCACGGAAACTTGTGAGTACCATCTGCGTCCAACGCAGCAGCTCTAACTACGTCTGAGGGCTGTTTTGGTCCTTCGTCGACTCCAAACTCCAAGCAAGGAGGAGACCTATCCAGGTAGGCGTTTGAGAAAACGCTTGTACTAATCTCAATGATTCGCTCTCGCTGCGAGCACTGTGTCCAGGGGTAGAGGTAGCATCGTCAGTAGCGTGCGTGCCACCATGGTAAGGTGCCAATAACACCTGTTGAGTGGGCTTCGGAGCGGCAGAGGAGGCATGGCCTCAGGAATGCAATGGTTGCACTCGCATTCCTATCCATGAGCATTGGAATACCATATACGTTTCCAATAAACAGCACCATATACCTATATTGATAGGAGGTAGCACAGGTAGTAGCATCGGGCGATACCTTGGGTATAGCTCTGGCTTCTAGAGGACGTCTCGTGGGTGGGCGAACCCGCAGGTAATGGAATGTCAAATGGATTATGACAGTCAACAGCAACATCACTTGTGCTTCACTCCTAATGTCTTATGACTGTGGTTACATTGTAGTCACATTTTGTCAATAAAAGAATGTCTATTATCGCACTATTGTCTCAAATTCTGTTGTAACTTTCAGTCCCAATGTCAAGTCAACCTCTGATAAATAAACTTATATTCCTATTTTATTCTCATATAACACATCTAAAATCTATCACCAAATCCTTCCTAATCAAATAATAACTAATACATAACATTCTCAACTTTCTCACAATTGCAATTTTCGTCAAAAATCTCAATAAAATATTCCTTTCAATTCCGTGAAAATTATTCCAATTCATTTTTCCTTGAAATCCTTCATAAGGTATCCTATACCTGACTCAATTTTCTATTCGAATTTTCGCAATCATTTACCATTTTACTGAAGTACCTTTCGTACATCAAACAGTGTCCGTTTCGGTGTGAGAAATGTATATTGCTCTTATGACCTTCTTTCCTTTTCCGGTCCCTTGATTTTCATAACCAATTTCGTCGAATTCCGAAACTAGTGCCTGTGCCTTCATTAATAAAATCTGTCTAGAATTTATTATCATTTTTTAGATTACCTAATTAAAATAATGACCTATATGTGTTATCAGCCCTACTCGCGTCTTCTATGTGTGCTGGATATTTATTGTTTTTATTTATTATATAGCCCGCCGTAAAACCCAATCTTGTTCTGGTACATCACCTCGTGACCGAGTTTGATAACTATGGTTTGGATTATTTTCATTACCTATTTCAATTTCAAGATTTTCTTCTGGTTCATTCTCGGAATCTTCATTGGCGTCGCTATCGGAAGGTTCTAACTCGACACTTCCAGTTTGATCGGTTTCAGGGTCACTGTCATCTGTTTCAGGGTCACTCTCGTTTTCTGAATTGCCCTCATTAGGAGAATCGTCCCAAAATTCGCGTTCTCGGACGTATGGGTTTTCATCTTCGAAATTTTCCTCTGGATTTCCCAATTGTGGCAAAATCTCTTTGTCGGATTGATTTTCTTCCTGCTCGTGTTCGCTGATTTCCACTCCTTTGAGCAATTTTAGTCGATTCGCATGCACATTTTGCACCTTTCTTCCACCTATTTCCTGTATCTTGTATGTAACGTTCCCTGTTTTCTCGATTACCCTGTATGGTCCTGTATACTTCTGCTGGAATTTTCTAGATTTTTGCTTCTCTGT